AACAATAAAAATAAAAATAAAAAAAATTAAATAAAATATAAAAGAACGAAAAAAATGTAAGGCATGATTTTTGTGCAGTTTCTCGCATTTTTATATGCAAAACGCGCAAACACAGAGCGGATTGTGTAAGCCCAAAAGGCCAGGACGAGGGTCTAAGGCAGGGAAAACGGCGAAAACGGCTGGGGGAAAAACGCTTCAGCAAATTGCGAAGCTTATTGAAATTGACAGGCAGCAACTCGATGGAAATGCTGGAAGTGCTACAGCTGATCAAATGAACCATCGACTGATGAATGCTCTACCGAATTACGTTCCACATAATCAAAGCTAGGCAAGAGACGACAATAGATATATGTATGCATGTAGGCGGGTGCATGTGATAGGGAGCGGGAAGGCAAAAAGCCAACGCACGCCGGGGTGCCGTTATAAAATGGAGTCCGTTGCACAAACCCTCGAAACCAGGACAACAATGCCAGCCACTCGAGTGCTGCATAACGTGACACATACATACGCGTGTGTGTGTGTGTATGTGCTGCTAGCTTAATCGACATTTCAAGCTTTTGTCTCAGCGAGTCAAATCGTTCGCCCGATATAAGCACAGAGGTTCAATGGGTTAATGAACCAAATAGCGTTTCATTTATTATGTAACCCCTGCGCCTAGCCCATTCCCTTTCCGTGCCTCTGTCTATGCCTGGGGCCAGCTGATTGCAGCTGACTCAATTGACGGCAATTGCAGCGCACGTGCTGGCGCATTGACCAAACCGTAATACATAAACATTCTCAGACGCTGTTGGCTCCACAGGAATGGGAATTACATGGTTAAGTGCCATTGCTGCAGACTAACTGACGCTGGCCCAGCATCGTGGCATTCCCCAAGGATAAATGAGAGTGTGTATGTGTGTGTGTGTGACTGCCACTGCTGCGATTGCGGCGATGAGAGTTAGCTACGAGCGAGTTGCTTGCTTTTTTTTATAGCCAAGTGCATAAGCCAAATGTGTGCGCGGCTCATTAGGCCAAAACTCTTGGCTTGCTTTTTTCTTGCACTTTACGTTGCCAAATATAAACAGACAATGCACGCATAGATACATACATATATATAACATGCACACATATACGTATTTCTCAGAATACACACGTGATGCTGCTTAAAGTTCAGCTTCTGGTCAAGGCCTAGTCAAACGCTGCCTGGCACAGCCTTGACACAAACACACACACACACACACACGCGCACACACATGTGTGTGTGTCTTTTTTGCATCCTTTTCGCTTTGTAGTGCATTTAAAATAATTACGCACAGCTATTTTTTAGCCATTGTTATATAAATCATACTTAGCAGCCGCTGTCATACGAGAGACTCCTGCCCTGTGCAGAGTGGCTAAGCCTACGGAGAGTCGGGCATAAAAATGTTTTATGGGCCGCACTTAATTTGCGTGAGGCCCATTACATGAGTGTTTGTGCAATTAGTAATTCATTAGTCATTTGCCGGTCTGTTTGCTTGTCATTAAAGGCCAGCATGAGCAACACTTCCAAGAGACTTCTTGTAAACAACATTTGGTTGTCTTTATTTCGTTGTTTTCATTAGTTTCGCACTCAGTTATGCAAACAGAGCTGAAATGGGAAGTGTTTTCTTTGCCCGGACGGGCATCAGCTGTAAGCTGCTTATAAAACACATCGCATTTACATACATACATAGGTATATGTATTTATTCTCAGAGTCCTTAAGATGCTGCCCCGCGAGACGAGTTGCCGATGCGAGCAAGGTGGGCATCGGCATTTGTTGTTGGCAACTTTTAAATTTTCAATTAACTTTTCGCAATTCTCTTAAACGTGCTCGAGCTGCGCAATTTAATTATTTATCATGACGCGAACCACATTTTTCCTTTTTTCCCCAGCCCTAATTCCAATTAGCTTCCGTAGAAAATTAATTAAAATTGTGCTTTCATTTGACGAACGCATATTCATCTATTCGACGACTTATAAATTATAAAACAAAATTCTCAACCTATACGACATGAGTTTCTTATAACGTCAAGCTTCATAGTAGAACAAAACCTTCTTCTTCTTTTCTTATGACTTTTCTGGCAAAGTAAAGAGAAAAAAAATGATTTGTGTACCACTTAGGAATACTTTATGTGCTAAACAAGTCAACATGTGGAAATCGACAGCGATAAAGAAGCCAGAAATCCGTCTATAGCTACCTTTCTGTTCTCCTTCATACCATTGAATTTATAATCTATTCCAGTTTGGCTAAAGGCTTACAGGGTATATTCGATAGGATTTTAGATGAATAGTAATTTAAGAGTCGAATTTAAAGACTGCAGTAGCTTAACTAGCCAACCTTGACCCTCTAGCCCTAAAAACAGTATTGTCTTTGATTGAGTACACAAGTTTGGATAAGTACAAAGTTTAGATACGAATTCAAGTCGATTGCTCCCAAAAAAACAACGTATCTGCTCTACCCAACATAGAATTTGCCGAATCGTTACGCCCCTTAGCCTGGGTAACAAGTATAAAAATATAAAATTCCTTGTAAGAATTATTTATTCATTTATATTCCGCATGAAATATTATACAGTGATAACATATTCTCAAGCATATCATGCGTAAGATAATTTATATCATTTTATTGCTACTTCTAAGGCAGACAGAGATATAAAATGCGGTATAAATATATTTATTATTCATGCCTGCGTCTATTTTGGTCTGCGTATGTCAAGAAGGAAGTTGGAGCTCATTAGACGGTAACTGGGGGAGCCACAAACCCTCACAAAATATTTATAAGTCAAAAATGAATATTGTATTGCTATCAATATATAAATAAATAATGCTCAACTCTCTAGCATGCTGTGTGGGATTATGGGAGCAGCTTCACCTTAGTTACCGTCTAATGAGTCTCCAATAAACCTCTTTGAGCAACAGAGTCAACTTATGTTGCCAGACAAAAATGAAACAGCGTTCCAATCAAATTTCCCATCAACTTAAAAAGTATTGAATTTTAATAAAAACATAAATGCGATTTTCGTTGCCTCAATGGCTGAGAAAACAAGCAGAAGCTAAATCAAACCCAAGTCATGCAGTCAGATTGCCCCAGTTGCTTTTCACATTTTGGCGTTTGACGCCTGCTCGAATTGCGAGGAATTTTCTTCTTCTTCGTTTTTGTGCTGGGGCAGAAAAACAAGCAACAGCAACGGCTATAATAAGAAAGTGAAGATTTATGCGCCTGAGGGCGCAGATGAAGCCAGCTCAAGTGAATTAAGTTTTCATATCAGAGCGTCAGCGTATCAAGTGTCCAGGAGGAGCGAATAAGCTAAGTACTTTGGCCAGGACATGCGGCATGTTAAACTGTCAGCAGTCAGTGCACACACTCATCAATACCCCTCGCACACACACACACACACACACACACATCTGTAGATACATCATGGTCAATGTGAGCTGCCGCCACATGCTTCCACCCCCACCCACATCTCCGGGATTAGAATGTGGCTTGTGATGTTTGGCGTATTCGTTGTAGCATATTTTATCGCATTGTCGCACAGAGACAGACAGACAGACACACAGACAGACAAACAGACTGCAAATCGCATTTGCCATCGCATGCTGCCCGTTGAATGGGGCAAGTTCTCTTTTAGTTTATCAATTGCTTTCAAGCTTTCGCTCATTGTTGACATTTCGCTCTCATGGCCTCGGAGGGCTTCAGCAGTGACCAATATTAAATCGTATAATCGTCTAATAATTACTCTATGAATATACTTATCTATTTTGTTTTGTTCTTTCTTCTTCTTCTCTTTCGCGCGTGCTCTTTGATAACTCGATAATGAACCGTATTATATAATCCTCTTAATCTAATCTATAAATATACATACATATATACTTGGGTAAAGTTTGCATACTGCACGGATATTGTAAGTCAACTCACACGGACGTAGCCAAAGCCAACTAGTTGTTAGCTCTTAACTGTTTGCATACTGTTATAATTCTTCTTCTTCTTCTTCCTCTTCTTCTCTTCGTCTTCGATCACATGCATCTACTGACCATTTGAAATTGAAAACTTTTGCAGACGATGCACAGCCTAAAATGCGCTTTAGTCTCTCACCACCGCCACCAAAAGTCAGCCTAACCCCACCCACTAGCACCACAAGCGCCACTAGCAGCTCAACCACCATCAGCTGCAGCAGCAGCAACAACAACGTCAGCGGCGGCCATAGCAAGACCCTCAGCCGCAACCGCAACAACAACAACATGCTGGGCACGGGACCGGCCAACGCCAGCACCGATGCTGACGCGGATGAGGCTCTGTCGGACTACAACCAATGGCTGCATGCCATGAAGCTGGTGGCTCGACTGCCAGGCGGCACGCCACCCGAGTTCCGGCGCAAGGTAAACGGTTGCATTTGCCTTTGGTATTTGGGCCATAATCTTGAAACTAATCGTTGACCCCACAGCTGTGGCTGTCCTTGGCGGACAAGTATCTGAAGTCGAAGAACATTGACTGGGCGAAGCAGCGCGAGAAGTGCTTCTGCGAGGAGTGGCGCGAGGACGATGAGGAGCTGGGCATTCAGATCGTTAAGGTGACTAGCAAATAGCTCCCATCTGAGCAGACTAACTTGAGCCTAATGAATCGTATGTCCCCCCAGGATCTGCACCGCACGGGCTCGAATTTGTGCACCGGCCCCGCAGGCTCCATCAACCAGGCGAAGCTCAAGCGCATCCTGCTCGGCTATGCGCGCTACAACCCCGAAGTGGGCTACTGCCAGGTGAGGGCCGCCGAGTTGCTTTTGCTGTTTCCCAATTATAGACAACGGCTTTCGTGTCACCCCAGGGCTTTAACATGCTGGGCGCGCTGATACTGCAGGTGATGGACAAGGAGGAGGAGGAGTCCATGAAGGTCATGATTTACTTGGTAGAGGGCGTGCTGCCCACGGGCTACTTCTACGGCTCAATGGGCGGCCTACAAGCGGACATGGGCGTCTTCCGAGAGCTTATGCAAACAAAGCTCCCACGCCTGGCCAAGCACCTACAGCGACTGCAGGGGCCCATGGAGAATGCCTATGAGCCGCCGCTCACCAACGTATTTACCATGCAGTGGTTCCTCACCATGTTCTGCACCTGCCTGCCGATGTCCTGCGTACTGCGTGTCTGGGATCTGGTGCTCATCGAGGGCAGCGACGTGCTGCTGCGCACCGCCCTCGTCCTCTGGAGCCTGCTCGAGGAGTGAGTACTGCTTCCAATTTCTTATGCGACAGCTCACAACTTGTGTTTGCCCATTTTGGCGTCGGCGTTGGCGTTGGCGTCTGCGTTGGCGTCAGCGTCGCTGTCGGTGTCTGATTTCTATTGGCCTGCGGGCCAAAATCTGTGTCAAGGCTCATGACAGACGCAAGGTTACTGTCATTTGCCAAAGTTTTTTGCTGGCCAAATGCAATTTTCCTGTTTGCCGAAACAGCTTTTGTGTGTGCCGCAATTTGGGTTTAAATATCAAGCAAAAAACAAAGTTAAGAATACTGCAAAACTTTAGTA